TATATCATAATACATTTTAACAACACTTTCTTAACTTACTTACTCTACTCTTGCTTTCCCTTTTGTGGACTCCAGAGATAGTTGAAAGGTTTATCTGGTTGGTCTCCATATTTGTTGCTATGAGTATGGTCTTTCTTAAATTTTTATATGAGATTTTTTTAATACACAAGAGGGAGCAAAAGTTAGAGTGCTCTATAATTTCCCTGTTTTCTACAGAGGTCCATGATTCGCTCATTAATTGAACAAGTGTTTACACAGTATTTATGCAAGGGTTGCAAATTTCATACCTAAGGCCTGTCTTGATGGCTTTACATGACTTTTCCCCCCCAATTTAAAATATTTGAGGCAATATTAGAAACCATGAGATTTCCCATAAAAACCCCAATATTTAATTTCCTATAACTTTAGAATTTATGGTCACTTAAAGATACAATTTGCTAAAAAGTTCGACTGGAAAGAGTAGAAGTAACCCCAGTATGTTAATCAGTCTATACCACTCCCTACTTTACAATATTGGTCTCTTATACTCACTTTTATTGTATCCATGGGTCCTGGAGGTACTTAATTAGCAACCCTGGGCCAAACACTAGTAATGGGAAGACATTGGTTTTTTTGAGAACAAAGACATTGACTTCTCTGAGGACAAAGTATGCATTTCAGATGCTGAGTTTCACATTCTCCTCAAGTAAAGGTTATCAACAAGCTTAAGTACTTTTCTTAGAATAGACTGACCAAGATCCTTTCCTTCTTACCTACTTAACCAGGAAAAAAAATATGTAAAATCAGAGTTGGGGAAAGTGGCCTCTGCAAATCAGAAGAGGGAAAAACAAACAAACAAACAAACAAATAAACAAAACTATGATGCACTATTACATTCAGTTTCAAAAGAAACTTTTATATTGACAAACTTAACTTTTTCTGTAAAGGAAATTGAATTTTGTACATTCATTCAGCTATTTTAAATTTACATTACCATTTAATTCAGACTCATATGGAGTCACAGAACCCCTTAAGCATAATTCACACTATAACTACTTTTGCTGGTTGAGACAATGTCAAAGATACATTTAATGGTATGAGTAACAAGTAGCATTTTAAGAAGTACTGAAAACAATGCTCTTTTTCTTTTAACAGAATTTACCTAAAGAATTGTTTCTTTTATGTATTATTTCTATTTTGTAAATAACCATCTATATTTTAATCCACAGAGCCAACTTTATTACTATCTTAAATATAATAATGATGATAATAATAATAATAATGTCTTGCCCTAGCTGGTTTGGCTCAGTGGATAGAGCGATGGTCTGTAGACTGAAGGGTTCCAGTTTGATTCCAGTCAAGGGCACATGCCCTGGTTGTGGGGACAACGAGGAGGCAGCCAATCAATGGTTCTCTCTCATCTTTAATGTTTCTATTTCTCTCTCTCTCCCTTCCTCTCTGAAATCAATAAAAATAAAATTTAAAATAATAATAATAATTCTTACATGTATATAATGCTTTCAAGCTAAGTGCTTAGATCCACATGAGGTAATATATTAATAAGTTCAGCACCATACAAATATTTTTTCATAAATTATAAGTAATTTTCTGAGATACTTGATAGTATGATTTTGAACATGATTATATAAACAACTGTTCATATTATATGTATCTCATCCACCACAAGAATTTATTAGAATTCATTCTATAATTTAAAATATAGAGGCAGATAGTGACATCTTGTACAATTCCAGTAAAATGAAACATTTTCACCTGACTTCTCCCTTTCTCACACTTCAACCCAACTGAACTGAATGATGATTAATTTGGCATTGGCTAGACTCAAAGATGAGCAACATACACTCATCACCCTCTAGGGTTTAACAGTCCATTTGGGGCAAAAAGATGTATGCCAGATGATTTTTTGTATGTGACATAAAATGATGAGATCTATTTTCCCTCTAAGTGTTCTGGAGATGTGAGACAACTGGTGAGAATAATAAGGAAGAGAAGAATCTCTGAATGTTTATGGAAGGAGGTGCCATTTTGGGGGAACTTTGAGGAAATTAGTAGAATTTAATTTTTATATAGCTTCAACACAGTGGCATGATCATCTATAAGATTAGCCTTTGTTTCCCCTGACCATTTATGGGCACTTACCTAAAAATATTTTTATGCCTCTTTACTGTAACACGTTTTCTTCACTCCTTAATTTCCTGATTCATTGTTCAAATGGAAATTATTCTTTTGTATGCCTGCCAAAAGTGTAATTAAGGAAGGCCATCTTTCATTCTATTTTAAAGTTCTATTTAAAAAAAAAAACTGTTTAGAGGGCTTATTAAATAAATCATGCGGCATAAAAAAAATGTTGCCTAATATGCATCCATTAAAAAAGATGAAATAGATGATACACATTGACTTAGAAGGATGTTCATAATTAAAATGTTATAAACACAGAATCATGCATATGGTATGGAAGCATTATGTGCACATACTGATACTGATGTTTGTGTATATTATGAAAGAATTTGGAAGAATAAATACTACAAATTTAACAGCAGCTAACTTTGAGAAAGATATTACTTTCTATTTAGTATAATTCTCTAATTTATATTTTAAACAATTTAAACAAAAATATTTATATTGAAAGAAATACAAAGTAGTCATCATCTACTTCCCCCATTCTAAGAATCAGAAAAATTGCTGCCACTTTTTACTTCAGTAATTTAATTCAATAATTCTACAATATTTCTTCAAGAATAAATAATTTAGTTCAAAATAAATTTTATTAAAATGTTAAAAATCAAATTATATAAAAATATAAACTCAAATTATTGAACAAACTCCAGTGAAGAATTATAATAAAAAAAACATGTTTATAGTAAGGCAAAATTCTAATTTTACTAGGTTTAGAGTCAAAATAGTTAACCAGTAAGGCTCACATTTTTCTGTCAATATATCAAAAACAGCAGAAATAATCACCAAAAGATAAAGGGCAGCAAATGCAACACATTCATCAATCTGCTTTTTCACTTTTCAATGTTTTTATAACCAGAAATAAAATCTTTTATTTGAAATTATAGACAACAATTAAAGATGAAATAGTTTCATAAAACCTCAGCCATTCAGCAGAAAGGTGTACAATGCTCCATCACCAAAGGCAACTATAGATTAGAGCTATAATGTAACAGGAAAACAAGGGATTTCCTTAGCTCCTACTGCTGGTAAGTCTCAGTTGGCCTCACCCAGAGCTACAGGCAAGGTATTCTTTCTCACTAGTGAGACCTACTCTTTTGTCACTTAACCAGATCTCTAAAAAGAATATGTTCTTTCCATATCGGATGAGAAGAGTCACAATTCAATATATATTTCTTTTTTACTGAATGTTCAGTAAGTGAACAAGAATGATATTTTGCATATGAGCAAACTTTTTATCTAAGAGGTACCATGCTTTGCCAGCCACAAAGCTCATGAGCAATGAGCACACTATTGTGTACAAACACACAGCAAACATAAGAGATCATCAACAAAGGCCTGTTTAAATGCAACCTGCCCTGACTTTTTATGAGAACATCTGACTCCTGGCCCACTGTTGGTTTTTATGGCATTGTAGTTTTGGTTTTTGTCTTGTCTTCAATAGACTCTGTTGTCTTTTTTAGGCATCGAGCAATTGGTCCTGAATTAGAAAAGAGGTGCTAGAATGTAGGAGTGGGAAGCTGACCTACATCTGAGCAATTTGCATGTGATTCACCATAATTAAACAATTTGGTCTGAAATAGCTACAATTTAGCTATTATGAGAGAATGTATTTACTAGACTGGAAATTCTAAATTTATTTGCACATAAGTTGTAGCCAAGAAAAGAGACACGTTTTCTGACACTTTTATTAAAAGTAAATTTATATTATTAAATCACTGATGGTTAATTATACTTATGGTTTTTTTGGCTGTTCCTCAAGAAATTACAAACAAAAAAGAATAGCAAAAAAAAAGTAAAATTATGATTGATGAGAGAATCTCAGTTTATAACAATATATTACATATATTAATATACATTAATGTGTATATTATAAAATTTCCTTTCTGATATATAAAAATCACATACACTAATGTCAAACTACCCTAAAATTATGGAGATGGTAGTACAAAAATGTAAAAGTAAGAATTCATTTTGCTGACAGTAAAATAAAAACTACCATCCTATATAATAAAAGCCTAATATGCTAAAGGTCCGGTCATCTAGTGGTCCATTCAACCAAAGTATAATATGTTAATGACATGCTAAGGGTGCTCAACTACTTGCTATGAAGTGCACTGACCACCAGGGGGCACATTCTCTGACTGGTAGGTTAGCTTGCTGCTGGGGTCCAGCTGATCTGGACTGAGCAAGATGGGCCAGACACACCCTCTCATGGTCCCTCCCTAGCTGGTCAATGCCCTGAGCCCCTCCCACCCCTGATTGTGCTCTGGTGGGGTTCCTCGGCCTGGCCTGCACCCTCTCGCAATCTGGGACTGCTTAGAGGATGTTGGAGAGTCAGTTTCATCCCGATCCTGCTCAACACAGGAGCTGCCCCTGGTGGTCAGTGTGCTTCCACAGGGAGAATGCTGCTCAGCCAGAAGCCAGGCTCACAGCTGGCAAGTGCAGCAGTGATTGTGGGAGTCTCTCCCACCTCCGCAACAGCGTTTAGGCCATCAGTCAGACATCCCCCCAGGGCTCCCTGACTGCAAGAGGGACCAGGGGAGGGACCAGCCCCCACTCCCATGCACAAATTTCTTGCCCCAGGCCTCTAGTAATATATAACATGTAACAGTACGGGGAAAAGTTCAAATTGAAGATTCAGCACTATATGTTGGATGATTTCAAGTTGAGCAAGTGAGTAAATCTAGAACACTTTTCAATTTTTCGGAATAAACAATATCAATTCTATCTGCATCTAACAGGAGGAGTAAATTATTGAAACTTGTATAAAACAAACACAACATAGTTTAAAATCAGGAAATGTTTTTTTTTTTTTTTCCTACCTTTACAGGCACATGGGTGTTTTCTGATTAATCTTCAAGGATACCCTGCAAAAGAAATAGAAACTGGATGACATTGTTTTCACATTATAATCAACAGTGAGTGTTAGCAGTCTGTTTGTTTGGGGGGGAGGGGCAGGGGAGGTCTGTTTACTGTGGCAAGTTCTTGGCTATTTCGCCCAGAAATCTGCATGATTCCGGCAACACCGAAGGTGACATAGGGCACATGAACATCATATATGGATTGAGCTTTTTTTGCTACATGGGTATCGTAATTAAGACTATTGTTTATAACTATAAGCCAATTTGGTAATTTTATTACTGACAGCTACCCTGTTTCCCCGGAAAATAAGACAGTTTCTTATATTAATTTTTTATCCCAAAGTTGTACTAGGTCTTATTTTCAGGGAATGTCTTATCTTTCCATGCGCTAGATCTTATTTTCAGAGGATGTCTTATTTTTGGGGAAACACGGTAATAACAGTGAAAAGAAAAAGTAAAATCATATCATGTTGCAAAAATGAAGCAAAACCATACTAGGCAACAAAAATTGTGAACCCAACCAAATATCTATTGTAGATTTAATTACTCCTTTGTGTGGAATTAAAATATATAGGTACTAAGATTTCAGTCTATGTTGCCAGTGAGATCTTGTCCTAAGTTACAGAGATTTAAGAGAAATATTACGTGGCATAGGCAATTACTGTAAGAAAATTCTAATGCCCTTCTTTAGAACAGAATTAGTCTCAGGCCGATCCGGTTTGGCTCAGAGGATAGAGCGTCGGTCTGTGGACTGAAAGGTCCCCGGTCAAGGGCATGTACATTGGTTGTGAGCACATCCCCAGTAGGGGGTTTGCAAGAGGCAGCTGGTCGATGTTTCTCTCTCATCGACGTTTCTAACTCTCTATCCTCTCCCTTCCTCTCTGTAAAAAATCAATAAAATATATATTTTTCAAAAAGAATTAGTCTCAGAACTAGAAGGTAAATTAAAAATCAATGGGCCTAACACCCTTACTTTTCTTTTTTTTTTTTAAATTTAAATTCTTTAAAATATTACATATGTCTCCTTTTCCCCTTCATTGACCTCTCCCTGGCCACTCCCACCCCCAGCACATGCTTATATGCATGCATACAAGTCCTTTGGTTGATCTCTTACCTCCCCTTTCCACCCTCCCCTGCTTTCCCTCTGAGATTTGACTTTTCAAAGCAAAGCAAGGTCGCATAGCTAGCTCCTGGAACTGAGGGTAGAATTTCCATCTCCCAGCCTCATACTCATGCCACAGCATTAAGTTACTTAAATCTTTGTAACTTTCATGACTGAAAAGAAATAAAGGGACTGGATTGTATTTTCTCTCCTTTTGATAAGTTTCGTCTTCTTAATGAAGGTCCATACTCCTGCCTGAATACATAACCTATGTCGTCAACATTTCTGCATCCACCTCATTCAAAAGTCCTTTTCTTGGTGGAGGGAGATACCAAAGAATTAGATGGCAGGATTCTAATCTTAAACTGTTTACAAATCAATGGCAGAAAGCAGAAAAATAACATAAAGGGAAAAAGCGCATGGGCTGCAAAGCTTACAAACCAGTCAATAACGTTACTAGCTGGATATGAGAGAAGCCATCCAATAGTACTTCACATCAAATCTGTTTCCTGGATAGCCTTCAAAGAAAATCTGCCATTGTTCCTTAACAAACGCCCCTGCCCCCAACTTTTTAAATGGATCTGTATTATTTTGCGATCTGTTTAGACTTCTTAAAAAAAAAAAAAAAAGAAGAAAGAAAGAAAAGAAAAAGAAAGAAACAAAACAAAACAAAATAAAAAAAACAAAAAATGCGATCATTTGTGATTCTTAATGAATAAAATGTAATTTTTGGTATAGACAAAAAATGGTTTATTAAGCTATTCAATATTTCTTGTAAATGCTTTCAAAAGACAGACAATAACCCCTGGCCCAGTTTGTTTTGCAGTTAACAGTAACCTCTTGTTTTCAGAAAGTGCAATAACAGAATCAACATTATGTAAGCAAGGAACCTAACTCTGCACTTATCAAGGCCTAGAATTTTAAGAGACTGGGAGCAGGGCAGGCAGCAATATAATAGCTGTGGAATGTTTCCTGCCTCTGTAATCTCAGAAACAGCTTGTGTTGTCACAGGGGAAGCTAACAGTATTAATGAGGTGCCGGACCCCTCCCTGGACAAAGTCAAAGAATAATTCATGTTTCCTTTGCAGAGCATCAAAGAAGGAGTTTTATAAACGTTATATATATATATATAAACAACCCAAAAAGTGTTTCCAAATAGGAGACTATTATTGCTTATGAGGGTGCTACCGAAACACTTAAAATGTTTCCTCTCTCACAAAAAAAAGGATATTGAACAGTCCAGTGAAATTTTAATAATGTGAGAGTTTAGAGTGTGTCTAGCTAAAGTAGCTTAGTATCTTTAAGAAGATAAAGCATTATTTAGTAATAAGCTGTATTTGTTGGGTTTTATTACTCCAAGTTTTCAACTCTGCTTAAATCATGAAGAAAGAATGCTGAGACAATTTTCTGTGTGCCAAAGTTTAAGCAACATACTAAACCAATTCTACTTAAGAGAAATGAAGTCATGCCCTAGCTGATTTGGCTCAGTGGATAGAGCACCGGCCTGCAGACTAAAGGGTCCTGGGTTTGATTCCAGTTAATAGCAAATGCCTGGGTGGCAGGCTTGATTCCCCAGTGGGAGGTGTGCAGGAGGCAGCTGATCAGTGATTATCTCTCGTCAGGTCAGTAATACTTCTATCTCTCTTTCCCTCTCCTTTCCTCTCTGAAATTAATAAAAATATAAAAAAGAGAGAAAGGAAGTCACAGAATTAATTACAAAGAAATATGCTTGTTAAAATTTCAGTTATCTGTAGATTTACATTTTTCTATGAAAAGCCATATGATTATAGTTCAGCACTCTTATTTGAAGACATAGAAATATAAATACACACACATATCCACACCATTTTGGGTGGACACAATTATGTTGTAAACAAGCAAATATGGTTAAACACTTAAATACATACTTCTAATCCATTGTGCATTTTATTCTCAAATATCCTTTACTGGAGACTAGAGTTTTGACATTTAATTTTTCTCCAAAATCAGAGTTATGGCAAAAACAAACAAACAAACAAAAAAACACACACTTCTACAAGTGTCAGAGTGATACATGGTACAGATGACTGCCAATGGAAGGGAAGGCTACCATGATGTGGAAGGCAAGACTTTGTAGACAGTGGAGAATGACTAAGAAGCAAAAGTCAAGTTACTATATTTAATACAAAACAAACTAGAAACTCTCCTTGTTCTCTGCTCTCCTTCTCCTCCATCCAGGAGACTATTATTGCTTATTAGGATGCTAACAAAACACTTAAAATGTTTCCTCTCTTACAAAAAAGGATATTGAACAATCCATGGAATTTAAAATGCTATATAATATACATATATATATATATATATATATATATATATATATATAATTTTTTCAAGCTTTCATTCCTGAAGGTTTTAATTCTTTGATCAAAATAAGAGGTTACAACAAATGTATATTCTACAAAGAAAGAAAATTGCTCAACACGTTTGAGTAGGAGGAAAATTAGACCATAGCATTTCTACACAAGAACAACTAACTTTATGATGTCTACACTATACAACTCTAACACAAAAATAAGCATGCTTTTTATAATGCACAAATAGAGCATTATACTTCACGTATTTACTAAAATAGCATTTAAAAGTATAGTATTATATGTAAGCCAATTGGGTTAAACACTTTTTGATTATCTAGATAAGTCCTCTTATTTTATGGATATATAAATGAATAACATGTATAACAATATTTATGAGTAAAGCCTAATTTTATTATCACAGTATATGCTTTCTTTTGATTTTCCACTAAACTTAGTATTGCAATTTAGAGATAGTGGCCATTAAAATCTTCACATTTTTTAGCTTTGAGGTTTACTTCTGAATCCTCTTTAGGATTCAAGTGAATAATGTCTACTAGTAGTATATTTGTACTTGAAAATCTATATTCTTCTATTTGAACAACAAAAGGAATAAAAAAAATTAAAAATAAAGCTTAATTTAAATTATTAAATTTTTTGATATTATTAGTAGAGGTTTTTGTTCATAATAAATAAATGTATTATTTCTCCCTAGCCTTAGACACAGTCAATTTTCTCTTCTATATTCTACAATTTAAAGAACCCAATTCTATACTTTGAACCACAGTGCAGAGTAAGAATCATTGATAGTCCCTTGGTCTTGGTATCTTTAATAATTATGACAGGAAGTTGTGGTTTAGTTAATGACACACAGATTCTTTTCAAAAATGTATTTAGGACCCAAAGCTTTTATACAATAGTTTCTAGGGGCCCACTGCATGAATTCCTAGCCTCAACATATTATGATTGAGAATACAGTAATCCACCCCACCACATTTATTCCTGCTTTTACTTTCTGTAGTCAACTATGACCCAAAAATATTAAAAGGGAATTCTCTACAGAAATAGAGAATTCATAACATTTAAATTGCATGCTGTTTTGAGTTGTGTGATGAAATCTCAGACCCTTCCTCTTCATTCCACCCACAACATGAATCATCCCCTTTGTCCAGTGTGTCCACACTGTACCAGGTATATACTATCCACCCATTATCACTTAGTAGTTGTCTTGGTTACCAGATCTACTATTGTGGCATTACAGTACTGTGTTCAAGTAATTCTTAATTACCAATGGCCCCAAAGTGCAAGAGTAGTGCTGCTGCAAATTTGAATGTGTCCAGGAGAAGACCTAAAGTAAAAAATCTAAAAGATCTTGACTTAATAAAGAAAGGAAAAATAATAAGCTGAGGTTGCTAAGATCTATAGTAAGAATGTATCTTCTATCCAGGAAATTATAAAGAAGGAATGTAAAATTTGTGCTAGTTTCACTGTTGCAGCTCAAACTGCAAAAGCTATGGCCACAGTGTGGGGTAAGTGCTAAGTTAAGATGGAAAAGGTACTAAGTGAGGGGGTGA